CTTGCTTGCTAAAAGTACAAACAATTTAGGCCACCCTATTCTTTCACTGCACTCTCCAGCTATAGTCAAGGTATTCAGGATGGTTGGTTGGCCTGTCTTTCCCCCCACTTGCTTGCTAAAAGTACGAAAAGTTTAGCCCACCCTATCGCACTGCACTGGAGAGTGCAGTGCAATAGGGTTGTAGGTAGAAAGTTTAGTTCACCCTAGTATTTTTTCCTTACTCCACTCTAGCTACAGTAATGTCCACACAACTCCACTCTAACACCCATGTATATACACATATAACTGAAAAGCTCACTCTGTGTCGGGGAAAAGATAGGCGTTGATGAAGTAGTGTCCCTGAGGTGTGCTCGAGGACTTTGACCCGTTCTTCCTCAGAGACTGTTTCACCTCGTGCAGCAGTATCCTCAGGTGGTCCTCGTCCTCCCGATACCTCAGTGACATCTGTAGCAGATTGTGTCACAAGTTCACGAAGGGCAGAGCTTTATCACAACGCAACTGACAAACGATCGCTGTTATCACAGCTTGCAACAATGCGCAAACTCTTATCCAGAAGCATACAGCTATGTCTCACGCACTACAGACACACACTTACTGTCTACTCAAAGAATTGGCTGGAAAAGCTGTGCTAAAGTGTAGTTCATGCTTCAATTGTCTCTACTGGTCCATAAAAAATTAAGCGCTCGCATTTTCCTTCCTTTTTTCAGGACTAGCTACACAATGAAAGTAGCTATTTTTATAACACTATGTGTATGTGGGAGAAACATTTCACGTAGCAAATAAGAAATTTGGGGAAACCTACGCAGATTTCTCGTTCTGTTTTTACCTGTATGTACCTTGCTAGTCGGGTAAAATATTCTCCCTTTGTATGTACAGAGGCAGTTTCATGGCATAATAATGGTGAATGGTCCAGTTCAGCTGTTGAAACTCTCTAAAGCCATTAACCTTCACAAACTGTATAAGTATGTGTAGCTCACATGTATGGAGGCAGCAGGGGCACTGCCCAGGAAGCTCTCAACAGTAAAAAACTTCTTGCTCTGCCCCGCCTCCTGAGGAGGACCTGTCGGAATTCCGTTTATCATGAACTTTGGGGCAACGACCACTTCTCGAGACACTGGGAGGTTTATTGAGACCGGTCGGGGGTCGAGATTTTGCTTTTTCACGGGTCCCCTGCGGGGGGTGTTCGGAGAGGGAGGGGGTGTGGGGGAAGGGGTGGTGCTTGGGGAGTGTGAGGGTGTGCAGGTGCGTGAGTGGATTGGGGAGGGGGTGGGGGAGAGGGATTTGGGAGTGTAGGAGGCTTCTCTGTCGGTGGAACTGGAGGGTGAGCGTCGGGGAGAGTCGGTGGTGAAGTTGGGGACCTTGGTGGAGAGGGGAGGGACAGGAGGGAGGGAGGGAGGGATGAAAGGGAATGCGAGGTACACATCTGAACGTGAGTTAAAACAGCACGCAAGGCCTGTGCCTACTCCCGTATTTGGGCTGGTAGAAAAATACATACTTCCTCTAGCAAGACTGGACACAGATGACTTACTGACTAGATGACTGGTGTGCACATGCTTAGAGACATACATGATGAAAGATACTAATACACAAACAGGGGAAGAGTGAAAGGTAAGGAGAGGGAGAGATGAGAGGGAGAGGGGAGGAAGTAACGGGGCAAGGAAGGTGGGTTCAGTGGCCGTAGGAAGTGTATATACATATCTTGAATAGCAAATGAGTGCCATCTCTATACATTGCCTTGTATGCACATGCACTACAGTCCCCATGTAGAAGAGTGCAACTATTGAGCAATGCTACAGTATATACCCATGTACCTGTGATGAAACGTCTTGGTCAACGTTGAGCGGTTCCCTGGAGCTATTATCCTCAGCTTTTGGCAGTGAAGGACCTCTGAAAAGACAATAACGACACACTGAACTGTACTACACACAACCATTACTGTACCCAATGCATAACACGAACTCAACTGCCAAGAGATGCACAATGGACATTCTCTATGAAATGAGACAGAACTTGAGTAAAGTGCTAAGTCATGCAGATGGACACTCTCTGATACTCACCCAATAACTTGAGTAAGGTGCTAAGTGATGCAGTTGAGCCACCTAGCATCCATTGGGTGTGTGGGTCTGACCTGCATTCCTTGACAATGAGTTGAATGCTAGTCTCCTCCTCAGTTCTGGCAATGATTCTCCTCATCTCCTCGTGGGTGACACCGTCCACCCCGTGTCTACACCACTCCATCACCGCCAGTCCTAGTAGAGAGGAGAGAGAGAGGAAGAGAAGCATCATTAGCTGTATCCATAATTATAAGCCTAACTGTAGCAAATTCTCATCGTTAGTGAGCAAGTTCAATAGCCCCGGTAGATTTTAGCAGTTCAGGAGTATCATTAGTGGCAAAAGAAGAAGGAGAAGGAGAAGATGAACAAAACTCCCTATCATAGCCCCATACATCTAGGTACCATGCCCATCCCTATAAACTAAGTACTACCGTACTTAGTGATAGTAAGAAGAAAGTGCTTTGGTCACCGGCAGACAAACTTCACACATCATCAACGTAATCATTATGCCGACCTTTGTACTGGTTTGGGATATCAGTGGTAGTAACATCGGTGATCACAGTATGCAGCTCTCCACATTTCTCACACCCCACTCCGCCAGCCACTCTGATACCTATACCAAGATCTGAAGAGACGGAAACATGATACGGTGTCTGTAGATCTCGTTTAGCGGGTGCAAAAGAATCACGGAGTTCAGAAGCCCACAAGGCCCTTGCGCTTTAGCGTTTTGAGCATATACAGCAAGGACATTATGTAAAGGGCCCTGAAGGCTTCAAATGCTTCACTTGGTTAGCGAAAAACCCATAACATGTGTACTGGCTGAACATCATGGCTGCTAACAGCCATCAATTTAATGTACTGTACCAATAGCTAGCAAATTTTAGTGAGAAACTTTGCGAGAAATATTTTTTGAGACCTCAACACAAAGTTTTAGACATGTATAGTGGAGAACTTTATGTTTATCTGTGGAAACACACAGCATACTGTACATATGTATGTACACTGGAATTACCAGATGAAGATGAGTTGTATTTGGCAGGATCTCTGGTGAGGGTTAGCCTCTGAGCATTCTCCACCGAGTCTTCTTCAACCTGGACACACGAAGGACACATTAAACAACGTGAATAATACTTGAGATGTACGTACGTATGACTGTAGGTGTGAATGTAACACTTACAACCTTACTTTTAAACACCATTATTCACCTGATAGAAAACAGTCATTATTACTTGATTACAGGATAGAATGTACATGACATCCACCTACTGTACGCATACACAGTTCATACGTAGTATGTATGTTGCCAATGAATGAGCCCTCAAAACTGAAATTCGTAAAAAGTTTTTTGGCAGAGGATTTTCCCATTTGGCATCATTACCAGCTATAGCATGCTAATCAGCGCATGCTGTACTTTATGTGTAAACTTTAATGGGACAAATCACTTTAATGGGACAGATCTTGTGTCAATTAAATTGAGAGTAGTCCAGGAATGCTTCCTCTTAAAATTTGTCAGAAGGAGCCATTTGTACAGCTACATAACTCTGTATTTCGCTACCAAATTGCAAACCTGAACGTTTCCTGCGTATTAATCATGCATGGCTGCATGAGTCTGTAAATTAAGAACCACGTAACTTAGATGGTACATATTACATTGCAGTGATTACTGTATGTTACTAGGCATAATGACGCTTAACCTCAAAATGAGCTCCAACGATGAATATAATATGTACAGTGCGTAGTGGGCAGTGTTTATGAATAATGTATCACACGTCAGTAGGGGGAAGACAAAATAGCACACCAGCGTGCTTACATGTATATACCTTACAGACCTGCAGGTATTCCAACTATTTGCTGATTAGGTCTTTGTCACCGTTTAGAAATACCAGGAGCAAAACAGTCCCGCGTGCAGAGCGTAACGCAAGGCCTTATATTTGCAAACAAACCAAGCAGATATCGTACTTTTGAAAGCCATGTGTACATCCACACTATGTTAGGATTGAAGTGCATACACTGCACAGATCAGTAACCAGATGTGCAATGGTGAGACCTGCAGGGTATGACTTGTATAGTGACATGATGCTAAGCATGTGACAAACTCACTGCTGTGTGTTCAGTCTGTTGGAACCACGAAAATTGTCCATTAAACAAACAGAGGTGTCCTCTATCCGCATGTTCACTGAGGCAAAGCCTCAAGCTCACTATACATAGAGCCCTTCTGGCCTAGTATGAATATAGCTCAGTACCATTGTGGTTTCTGTCCTATCGAGCTTTTCACTTGCCATGCATGTACATGCTCCTGTAAGCACCACATAGGAATTCAACAAACAAACGGACAATATAGTATGGAAACTGAGTGCTATCATTCGAGGAACTCCTAACACAAAAGATGAGGGGAGGAGGCAAAGTATATATCCTGTTTACGGAGTGGTAGATATTTCCCTGGGATATCCCTCAGTATTAGAGGGTCTCTTTCACACACACACACACACACACACACACACACACTCACTCACGCTCCCTTTTAAATGTATGGACATCAACACTGAGTTCCATAGTTGATTTTTCCACGTTGTTTGCCGGTTACGCTAGTACGTACGCTGTTTGCCATACATACATGTAACCTGGGAGTGTCTCGTTACCTTGGATATTCCTGTCTCCACACACACACACCCATCATTGCGGGGAGGGGTCACCAGACAATGACACTCCGCTAGTCAATGTGTGGAGAGGGTCTGACTGTATCACTACCATACAAATTGTACTAGACACCCCAATTGCCGTATACAACATCAGGAAGCTTTCTCCACCAAAATTATACCTCTATACAAGTCAAAGGATGATGATAAACAGAATGTTAGAAGCTGACTCCACACACACACCTTCATTTGAGAATAGCACTCTCTTATACAATGCTCTTGTTTACCCCCATGCTCCCTGTATTACGATGTACATATATACAACTCTCTCCACGTCCCTCTAATTGCAATGATGTACACAGACAAGTGTGAATTTCTCGGAAACTGAAGACTTGCTCTAAAACGCAACTATTGACTAATTCCACCAGTCCTCAGGTAAAAAAAACACAAGCTGGCTAAGTAAAATGGTTGTTTTTTCACTGGCTGTTGTTGACCTCTGGGGAGGAGGTGAGTATACAATATCCAGTGTGTTTACCAGGTGTCCAATAGCTAGTGGGCAGGTACACAAGGGCGAGGGACACCACAAGACAGGCCTGCACTCTGGGACTAAACAAACTGTACGCGTGTTGGACGAGTGAACAACTTTTGTCCCCAAGCAACATACATCATACTAAGGGGCCTATGTATTACTGTGGGTACGCATGTGACTTGCTGAGTGTTTAGTAGCTACTATTATAGCTGCTTCTCTACACACACACATACAACAGTTCACACGGTAGTCCTTTCCCACGAGACAATTTAATATACTCGCCTCGTTTGTGTCTCCCCGCGTGACAGTTTCTCCCATGGCCTTATGTTGTAGTTCGTACTGCAGGTACTCAACAGCGTCAACGTACTCCGGCGATGGAGACCTGAAGGGGCTCTGTTCCCGGCCGTTTATACCGCTCCAAAATCCACCGCCTTGGACGACAAGGTGGTTCGTTGCAGCTGCCTCCGCGTTTTGTCCGCCGTCTGCTGCAAATACGTCGTTTTCCGGCACCTGGGCTCGCGTTTCATCCGCACTACTAGGGTGGAGGGCGGTACCTACTTCCTGCAGCCGTGGCATCAGCTGAACTTGAGCTGACATGTCGCCGTACACAATCTATTTCGGGTGAAAGAGGAACAACGACAAGCCACGCCCCCACAAATTAAATTGCCACGGGTACCATTTTGCGCATGCGCAGTGTTTTTGAAGCGCACTCAGCTGTTCGAACTTTGCCCCCGCCTTGAGCTAAAGTAGTATAATATATGTCGTCTGTTAGTAGTCTTCGCCGCGTGTTGCTCCTGGGCTCGGGGTACACCTCAGCACCTCTAGTTGAATGGCTGACGAGGGACGGGACCGTATCTGTCACCGTGGGTGAGTGAGACGCGACGGGAAGCGCCTGAAATCCAAACATCTTTGTGATGTCGTTTCACTCTCTATTTTCAGCCTCCAATATCCCAGAGCAAGCCGACAGGGTTGCTGCTCCGTTCAAGAACACGAGCACTGCTGAAGTTGACGTCACGTCTGATGCCAGTCTCTCTAGCCTCATTCCAGGCCACAATCTAGTCATCAGGTAAAGGAAAGAGCACTGCTCACCTTACTGACTCCAGCAACTGTAGGTTAAACTGGCAGTTAAAAGGTTATTAAAGTAGGCTCCTCTAGTCAAAAACACTCTGGTGTAAGCTCAAGAAAGAGACGTCTATATCAACTGTAATAAATTGGAGTTAAAGGGGTTTAGCCAGAGAGCCCTCTGCATGAAACAATGCTCTTGGATTCCAAACTCTTTAGTTTACCTGGTATATTGACAATCCAAGGATCGTCCAAATTGACACAGGCAGTCAAGGAGAAATAGAGAAACAACCAACCAGCTTCTGTCTGGAGTCAAACTCTGAGCTCCAGTCTCCCGAATAAAGGGTGTCTTTTTTTCCTTCAAAGTCTATGAGTATAGTTGGACAAGGAAAATAGAATTTAATGACAGTCTTGTGTATAGCAGCAACTTAGGGCTTTATTACTTGTTCTATTTGTTATTCTCTGTTTTCTAGACATGTTCAATTTACAGCTTGTGGCGCTTGCTTTGGCATTATTCTCTTGTTTTCTATTTGTAGTTACGTTCCATTCACACTCCACCCACTGGTAGCCAGACAATGCATAGCCCACAAAGTGGACTTGGTGACTGCAAGTTACGTCAGTCCTGAGCTCCAGGTACGTCCGTTGCCAGACTCACTTATGCACATACAGTACGTGTATATGTCCTGTTGTGGTGTGTCAAGAACCCATTTTAACTCTCTCACCATCTTGTCCGTTTGCTGAATAAGGTCGCAGGCAGAGCCATTAGAACCCCCTGTCCAACTAAACACCCTCGATTCTCATTGGATTGTATATACATATCTGTTTATCTATAGAAAGTGCATTTTGCTCTGCCTTTTCCATGTACCATGTATATACATGCTAGTGTTATGCATTAGCAAGCAGTTGCTAGAGGCTTGTCATTTGTGTAGCTCCTAAGTGTGTGTTGAGGGAAAAGGAAGACCAACGCCTAGAGACTAGGCCAGAGACTCGACCAAAATGTGCCAAATTGGCGTCCGTCTCTCTCCCACATTATGAATCTCACCATCTTGTCCGTTACCTGAATAAGGTCACTGGCAGAGTCATTAGCCCCCTGTCCAACTAACTACCCTCGATTCTCATTGGATTGTACATATCTGGTTGTGAATTCATCATGAATAAGTGTTGTTCCCAGGCCTTCACTACTTTGTGACTTTATGCGGGGTTTTGAGGGTGGGGGGTGGAGTGAAACATATACTCAAGACTTTAATAAGTTGCCAGTCTAAAGGGAAGAAGATGAAGCTAAAGGGGCGGGGGTTTCACCCCTTCCCTCTTTGCTGCTATTGCTTCCTCTCTTACACCTTATACAGGAGTTGGATGGGCCTGCAAAGGAAGTGGGGGTGACCCTGTTGAACGAGATTGGTTTGGACCCTGGGATTGATCACATGCTGGCCATGCAGTGTATTGACGAGGTCCACGACAAAGGGGGAAAAGTAATGCCAACATACTAGTAGCAAAGAGACTAACTGCAGTAGAACCTCCGAGAATGAAGTATCTTTTTTTGTTACGTTTATGAGAAATACAGTAGTTGCGACTTTAGAGATTGTGCTGTTTGTTTGAGAGGGGGGAGGAGAGAGGGAGAGAGACATTCAATAATGTTAGTTAATTCTCTACGTCAGGTGCTCTCATTTGATTTGCTCTGCGGCGGTTTACCTGCTCCAGAATGTGCTGATAACCCCCTCAAGTACAAATTCAGGTATGCAGGTATATTGCTTTGGGAATTTCTCTCCCAAATTGGATATATACTCTCATTCATAAAAGAAGCAGGAGAGATTACTGTATTATACACAGTTACAAAACCGAATATTTTGCATAAACTAACTATCTGTGTGTTGAGTTGGTGGATAAAAATAAAATAAAGGTTCTACCGAGATTCGAACTCGGATCTTGGGATTCAGAGTCCCAGGTGCTAACCGTTACACCATAGAACCTCACTGTTGTGTGGTTGAGGATCTGAAGGTGTTTCCACTGCAGCTGGAGTCCGAAAGGTGTGCTCCTTGGAACCATGCACCCCGCAACATACTTGAAGGATGGAAAGGTATACATCCGTATTGCCATCGCTACTTTGGCATTGTTTGGCCTTTGTGGTTGCTACGTGTGTAGCTGCAATGCAACTACAACTTTAGAGTGTGGTTTAAGGTTCTGTTTTGAGCTGTGTAAATGAGTATTACAAACAAGGTTCTCTTAAGCTTGGTTCACAAATCCTGATGTGACCTTCACAGCGCAGTTTAATGCAAGAATAAACTGGATACCGCTGCATAATGATGACGTCTAATGGCAGCTTGAACCCTTACTTTTTCATTATGCAAGTATTTTCTTTGATCAGTATTGCAAACCAAGCTTTGCTCCCTCCATGCTCAGCTGGTGGAGGTACCAAGAGGGGGAGACATACTGAGCACGGCACAAGACGTCAGCCTCTTCCCCGACCTCCCACTGGAGTTCTTCCCCAACAGAGACTCGGTCAAGTACAGGGAGGTGTACCAGATCCCCGAGGCCTCCACCATTGTCAGGAGCACCCTGCGCTACAGAGGGTTCTGTGGCATAGCTCAGGGCCTGTTGAGACTGGGGCTGCTGGGTGATGCTCATGTCCAGAGACTGCAGCCTGACTCGGCCCCTCTTAGATGGGTGAGGCCTTAGACACAGTATGAGGAATATTACCGATGCCTTACTGCTAACAGCAACTACTACATAAAACTTAACTTTTTCACAATTGTAGTGTTTGGTCGACATGGCAGAGTTTGCACTGCTTGTTTCATCTACACGTGGCACCTCATAGCTTGTTTTTGATCTTGCCACGGAAATAATTTACCAACTATATACCTCGCAGGACATGCAATATCACGCTCATGCGTTTACCTCGATGATACGTGCTCATTCATAGCTAGTAGAAAACCACTGTAAGAGTTATTGCTCAAAGTGTTTTCGTATTGGAACACTCCCTACAGAGGGATTTGCTGGCCATACTGATATCTCAGTCTGATGTCAGGACCCCAGACCTCCGTTCCTCTGTACTGGAGACCGTCGGAGGAGACCAGAATGTTCTGACAGCCATTGAGGGGTGAGTAAGGCCATGGAGCTATCGTGACGTGCCCCCCATCACCAGGCACATTTCGTCTTTGCTGGCTTTTCTAGACTTGCCACTCTATGTGCATTATCACTTAAAACGCCGCCGTAAGATGCAATAATTTAACGGTAACGACGCGCGGACACATAAATGTGTTGGCGGCGTGCAAAGAACCAATGTCTTACTTCCTTGGTGTGTTGTGCACAAGTCAGTTGTTCTCACAGTGACACACGGACCCACTGTCTACACAGTACGTGTACAAACAAAAGTCGTGCAATATCAGTAATCACAATCTCTCAATCTCTCTTCTCTGTTTTGCTTCACATGTATGTACATGCAGACTGGGTCTGCTCACCGATGCGCCGGCTCCCCTGAGAGGAACACCAATAGACACGCTCTGTGCCCATCTCCAGGAGCGACTCCAGTACCAGCCAGGAGAGAGAGACGCCATCTTTATGAGAGAGACCTTCACCATCCAGTGGCCCAACAGAACCAAAGTCAGTGAGCCCAGCAGCATTTGACCTCATCCTCAACCTCTCTAACTATGTGCACTCCTACAGTGGGTTTCAGGCTACCACTTGGCCCTAAGTCCATCAAGCATGTCAATCTGCATTCATACAGTTTGTAACACATCACTTTCTCTGTATGATCGCTCTTATTTGTCTTATCCTTGTTTTAGTGCAGGAAGCACGGTGGGGAAAAACTTTGTTAGAGTTTGTTTCATATGTAACTCTGCATTTGTTGGTCCCAGGAGCAGCGATGGATAGATCTAGTCGAGTACGGGAATCCAGATGGCTACACTGCAATGGCAAGGTGTGTGGGTCTGCCTACGGCCATTGCAGCTCGTCTCATTCTGGACGGTGAGCCACCACATTATTATGCAGGCATCGTTTTGTGAGCAAAATCTATTACTGCGGGTTTTCTATACATGTATGTACATACGTACGTTCTATAAGTGCAGCTAGGCAGTGTGCAATGTTTCACAGGTAATGTGAAGGAGAAGGGGATAGTTCGGCCAACGATTCCCTCCCTGTACAACCCCATTCTCCGTACTCTGAGAGACGAAGGAGTTCACTTGCAGTCTGGTATCAGCAGGCTGGTCAACTAGACCTTGGTGCACTCACTGTCGACTAGAGCATATATAGTCCACTTTTTCTCTTCTAAGGAGTATGGTACATTTATACAAGTTTTCCACTTTCCTAACATGTACAGGTAATGCCGTTTAATTGCACTCGCCTTGCATCGTAGGTAATTCTAAAGACAGTGAAATCGTGGTGCTTTTTTTCTTAACACTTACGCATGATGTAACGTGCTATGTATAGTGAAATTGAAAATATTGATGCCGTTGCGTTGCCGCTCAAATTTAATTATGACCTATGTACGTATGTATTACAAGAAAGTTGTTGTTTGCTAGTCAGTGATTGATGCTTGTTTGCCATTCACACTTTGCTGCGGTCCAGGTCAGTGTTGAGGGAGTGGTTGCGGTACATTCCAAACTTTCCCAGGTTCTGTGGAAACAGTATGCACGGCATGGTTACTCATCTGAAATACAATAGTCTGTGGTTCATGTGGTATGATAAACTATGTAGCTCGTAAACCTTTTTCAAACATCTACACCTCAATTCCATCCCAAACACTTAAAGGGACAATTAATACCCTACTGTATGTGTATGTAGGGGTATATATACTTATGAACCGCGTTTACCTTTGTGAACTTTTGCGATCGTCCATGAAATTGTGTTGGCACGGTGTGTACTGATGGTGACTTTGAACTGTACCGAGATTACAGAATAATTTAGTAACTCGAAAAAAACGTTTTGCTTACCCGTACGAGGAAGAGGATGTGCTGAAGAACGGATGCTCCGCTTGTGTATTATATCCTTCAAACCAATCTGGTACATATGTTATAAAGTCAATTCGTAGTTTTGTAGAACGGCCGGGAGAGAATACTAATATGTGCTGACACTCTTTTAATGTGACACTTCTATCGCTAGGCAGAATTTAGCATAATAATTATTTTGCTGTGTGAACGACATTCTGTAGTTTCTGCCATATGGGCCACTGAATGCCAACCATGACCACAACCAGTCTGGAACAACTATGCGACAGTAATGTGGGCATGGGTATAACAAACTTGCCCTATACCCATATAAAGTGTGTGTTGCGGAAGCAATGTTTGGTCTAATGTGCATACCAGGGTTGTTAAATCTTTCTGGAATATTCTTCACGGTGTAGAAATCTGAGGTCTTTGCTCCTGGGAGTGTGCTGAGCTTCACAGGAGATTGTTCCTCATCCCTGTCGTCTTCTTCCACTGCAGGCACCTGAGGATATTCACTGTTCTGTGTTGAGCAAAGAAACATGTTTTGCTGTCCTCTGCAGTTCTTTGAAACGCCTACCGTAGCCATTCTCTCAAAGACGGTCTTTTACCCACAATCACTGTGTCGTTGCCAGGTTACGAGCGGTACGAGCCCCGCCCATTTTTATCTCGCGCGACGCGACGCACGCGCGCGCAGACGCTTCAATACTTTTCTGGCGAGAAGCTACTACTACTCGACTCGGAGCTAGTTGCTGCAAGTCATGGCTAAATGTATGGACACTCAACTCCAGAACTTCTGGAAGGAGAGCATCAGCAGAGAAGCCGCGCTTCGCTTCTCCTGGCACCAGCGCTACTCGAAGATGTTCTCCCTAGGTGACGAATCTGCCGCAGGGACTCCGTTCAAACCCACCGCCGCTGCTAAACCAGCCCGACACAGCGGCGTACCGGACGGGAAAGCGGTAACCGAGCGAATTCGCCGTCTGGAGAGCGAGAAGCGTGGCAGAGGGGCGGCGGGACCAGCGAAGACGAGCGACGGCAGTGATACGACCATCTCAGAGGAATCGGCCGGACCTGACATGCGCCCACCTACTGCCGGCACTCGCACGTTGCTCTACAGCGGGATCAGTGCGCACGGTGACGGGAGGAACGCGTACCTACGGAAACGGAAGATGCTGACGCCCGAGGAAAAGTACGAGTTCCCGATTCTTTCGTCGTGCCAGTACGGCTGGAAGATTAGGGAGTTTGGCGGGCAGTCCAAGCCCTCCCCGCACGCGAGAGTGTGCGTGATCAAGGACTCGTTTTACAGAAACAGCGGAATAATTTTGGGCTGAGAGAAAACCCAAATCTTGGGTCGATGGGCTATCCTTTTTACAAGCTTGTGACAGATGGTACTTCAATGATTATTGCAAACATGGCGCTCTATTACTTTTGGATGAATGTCATATTCCGTTGTTATGTATATAGCTAGCTAGGTGTGGTGTAGGTATGCTGCTTGTGTCTCTGCGCGCGCATGCGCGGACACATCTCTGGCCGGCCGGCCCCAACTATATATTGGTACATGGTCTCGATTGGTCTCACCTCATTTGTGCATGGTGTAGAATGTTTCTCCTAGGTCTTTTCCTGTTGCTTGTGACGGCGGCTGTGTGGAAACTTCTCCCCGCGCTTGTGGAGCACCGTCGCAAATGCCGCCTAGCGAAGAGCTTCCCCGGCTGGCCCGCGAACTGGCTGCTCGGGAACCTACCCCAATACTTCCCACATGAGAAACTCGTCTTTAAGTTTCGCGACTACATCGCGGCCGAGCGTCACAAGGTGACTCGGTCGTGGCTTGGACCGTTCAAACTGATCATCAACATCCACCATCCCGAGGCCGCGAGGCAGGTACTCAAGACACCGAAATCGAAGATGGTTCACGGGATCTTTGCTCCCTGGCTCGGCGATGGGCTCCTGCTTACCGAGGGAGATAAGTGGGCTCGAAACCGGCGACTCCTTACGCCGGGTTTCCACTTCAGCATCTTGAAACCTTACGTTTTGGTCTACAACGAATGCGTGCAAACGCTGGTCAACAAGTGGACAGAAAAGGCACGCTGTGGCGAATCTTTTTCGGTGTTCCCAACTATGAGCCTTCTCTCTCTTGATATCATACTGAAGTGTGCGTTCAGCTACAACAGCATGTGTCAGGAAGTCGGGAGCAAGCAGCGTCCTTACGTCAGTGCCGTCCAGGAACTCTGCGGACTTATATTTGACCGCGTCTTGAACCCGCTCTATATGTCTGACTGGGTGTACAGCCTCACACCAGCAGGCAGACGGATGAAAAAGCTGTGCAACTTGGTTCACAAGCATGCAGAGAGAGTCATTCAAGAACGGCGCAAAGCACTGAAATTGGACGTCACGGAAGGCAAGATAGAACGCAAGGAGGTCTTCGCTGCAGTGGCAAAGCAAGGCCGTTATCTTGACTTCCTCGACATTTTGCTCTCTTCCGAAGACGAGGAAGGAATCGGCCTCTCTGATCTCGAAATTCGTGATGAAGTGGACACATTCATGTTTGAAGGGCACGACACAACTGCCACTGGCATCAGCTGGACCCTTTACTGTCTTGCCAAACACCCCGAGCACCAGCAAAAGATACGAGAAGAGGTGAATCGTGTTTTGGACGGCCGTGACCGTGTGGAATACGAAGACCTCAAGGAGTTGCAGTACACACTGTGGTGCATCAAAGAGGCCTTGCGTATCTACCCACCAGTGCCTAACATACTGCGAGAGGCTGGCGAAGACACAGATGTGTGTGGCCACACCATCCCAAAAGGAGTGCTAGTTGGAATCTCAATGTATTCCATTCACCACCATCCAGACATATGGGAGAACCCAGAAGACTATGATCCGTTGAGGTTTCGTCCCGATGCTGTCGACAGGCGAGATCCGTACGCTTTTCTGGCATTTTCTGCCGGTTCTCGAAACTGCATAGGGCAGAATTTCGCGATCAACGAGATGAAGGTTGTTATAGCCACTCTCATGCAGCGATTCCAGGTATCGCTGGAGGGTGACGATGGGAAAGAGCTTGAGCTCATTCCTCCTGTTATCCTGAGACCAAAGGACGATGTCCGCTTGAAAGTTGAGCTATTATAGCCCCCCCCCCTTGTTTATAACTCTCAGAATTTCCGCAGTAGTTTTGTGTTGTGTGGCAAGAACCACGTGCAGTAATTGTAGATGTCATCCACAAAGGATCACTAAAATCGTTTTTCTCAATTTTCCACATTCTGGGTCTTATGCTGTAATGTTTGCTCGTATAGTTTGATTACATGTATGTATGTGTGTGGCATTTAGTGAATGTTGTTAATGAGAGTCCTACAACTCTTGTTCTGGTAGTGTCAATACCATCTTCTCCACGGTAGCCACCAGAATTGCATAAACCTGTGATGTCATCATATAGCCCACAATAATACATAATATCTGTCTGCAGTAAAATATACTTACGGAGGCATAAAGGTTTTCTCTGTACTTCCTCTCTACCAGCGGGTCAACCTGCTGAACTGGTTGCACAGAAGGTGTCTGCTCTGCTGGGATCTAATGCATATATAAACATGGTTGAATAAGCATCTGAGTTATGTAATTGACTTGCCTCTGACGCCGTGTCGGTGTCCTTACTGCTCACTGGAGTATAATATGAAGAGAGAGAGAGAGAGCATTACACTAAAAGTATATAGCAATGCATTTTTAGCGAGCAAGTGTGAAATTTGCAGCGGATTTGCACGTATTTTACCTGAAGTCTTAGACTTTCTGGCAGCGACACTCTTTCCTCTACTAGGAACCTGTGGGAAGGATTTGTGCTGTGGATTGAGATCACGACGTACAATGGCAATCTCACTCTTTCCTTGTCCTTTCCAGACCCAGCTTTCTTTGAGTCTGGTTTCTTCCCCTTCTTCTCCTTCTCCTTCTCCTTCTTATTTGTCACAGCTGCTGCGGCAATTTTCAAGTTTTGGTTTGCGTGTTTAATCTGTGATCACTTTTCATAGCGTGCTCAGACCCAGCTCTCTCTGGCACATGCTCAGTACAAATAGGGGTGTGGTGACTGACGGTGAGTTACAGTAAGTGCGTGAATTAAACAACGTCACAGTTATTACAAATCCCAACCACGCCATGTTTATGTTCCCATAAAAGGCCTAAAACCGTTGCATGCTTTGTGTACTTGTACCTTGGGGGACTGGGGGGTATATACACGTTGTGCTGTATGAGTGAAACTGGGCATTGTCCCCTTGCTTGTGCAAACCACAAAACTATGGTCGATTCTGAGATAATTATATGTCAGAATCGACATTTTATGGTGGATATACAAATTTTAGCGATTTTGCAGTTATTTGTGCCGTGTGCGAGTGTGCGTAATTGCACGCATTGACTCTACGCATGCATGCACTACCTAGGCTAGACTTCTACTTACGTACGTACGTATGTAAAGAGTTGCCATATTTGCAGGTATAGCAACAATATATAGGCCGATTCACTAAAATGAAATATCCACTAAGGCTGATTCAAATACCCACTAAAAACCTCAAAGGTATATACATTTTTTAAATGTATGAATGACCTGAGGAAGAGGTGTTCCCAGGGAGATGGTCGTCTTCAGCGGCAGTCAAAGAGCTCTTGGTCGGACAGCTCTCCCTCTGGGGTAGCCCCATCACCTTACAGAGACGCTGTGAAGAGACGGACACCTGCTCCACCGCCTCACTCACCAACTGGTAGCTGTAGAATACCGTTAATAATGAGAGGGTTGTTTAATTCGTGCAGTTTTTTTGCTCAGTTTGTGTGAAAGCGTATAATAACCAAGTGCAGAGAAATGTATCGTCTTCACATGCAATGAGACTGTTTCGGTGCTGATTTGCAGCTGTAACGCACTGCTCACATCATGTCATCAAGATACCCAGTTCTCCAAGAACTCAAAGTTTTTAACAGTTTACTATGCAACATCAAGCAATACATTGCGGCAGTGGCATAAAAACTAAGAATGCTGGTGGCAATGATGCCTTACCAGATTATTTACATACTGTATCCTGAAAAACTCTTCTTCCCGAAAATATTTCTATATAATATACATACACTAGAGGTAGGAAGATGATGCGAGGAGAGATGGAGGAGGAAAAGACAGTTCTCCCAGCAAGTCACTCACAACTTCAGTTTCTCTCTCTTCTCTGATCCTCTCGATACCCAACACACCTGCAAAAAAGAGGACATTATTGTGTGTGTGTGTCCTTGGTGCCTCGGAATCACCGCGTCAAGTAGTAGGAATGGGTAAGAGATGCACAAACACATTGCAACAGTGTAAGACACAATTCTGCATCAGCCTAGTGTACATTGTTGCTTACGTACATACCTCTAGCAGGGTATGTGTGGACAGATCAGTCAGGGACAGGCTTCTCCCTGGTTTGGGTGAACTCGGACTGCATATTCAGAGTATGTACTGATAAGTCTTAAATGTAACGAGTTTTATTCTTACTTTCTACTTTTCCGAGGGTTCTGTTTCACTGTCTTCCCCTTTTGTCCTTGCCCGCCGCTCTCCCTCGCCTCTTTCTCCTTCTCTTTCTTCCCAATCCTCCTCCCGCCGTTTTCTGCCTGCTTCCCTTTTCTTCTTTGAGGGTCCACTGTCGACCGATGGCGGAGGGCGTTTCGTCTTCTGTTCGCTCTGGACGGAAGGCGGATCTCGTCATAGACGTGCCTTCACTGTCAGCACCACGTTGTAAGGCGTAGAGCTGTGGGCAAAAGAAATCAGTTTGTCTCGACATACACAGGAAACACGTACTGTACGACATGAAAAGAAATTTCGCCGCAAAACACCAGCACGACATCATATAGTTGCTGGCCACATTCACTAGCCGATTATGTACATTATCAGCTTTCTTTACCCTGTGCCATAGTGTCTCCGTTTAAGCAGAAACTTGATGTAACACTTGGCGAAATGTTTCGATTGTGGGGAATAGAAATGTCAGCATAGGTTAGCGTGCGTGGAGTAAGTACTAGATGATGTGGTGGGGAACATTTTGCGCGGGTGTTTTGGTATCATGTCTAGCAACTTGAAAGCAAATAATATATACCTATGCTGGTGGTTAGGCCATCATATATAATTTACTTCATGTGGATTTTGCTCCTGAACACGATCCTCGTCCTGGGGGTGGGAAGAGAATATGTTGGCGCATGTCCCGTCGTGCGTGTGCCGCGTTATGCGCGGATTAGAGGCATTAGAAATCTTCACAGCACAGCGCGACAGAGCAACGTGCACGTAACTTGTGAACCTCGCTCAAATGCTCTCTGAATGGTGCTGTCAAAGTACCCACACACATGCATGGGACAGTGCAACAAAACATTCGGAACTGGAAGCGTATAGGTCGCATTCCTAGCACGTCCTATATGATAATACTACGGGATGGTGTCCACCTTCCTAATGTACATATAGATACTGACGCAGAATGGGTGTCCCGCAGTTCCTATGTACATATAATGATATATGACACAAAGACGGGTGTGTCCAGCAGTTCCTAATGTACATATAATGCATCATACTGACAGGAAGGGTGTCCAGCAGTTCCTAATGTACATTATAATGATAATTACTACAGCGCCACCAAACGGGGTTGGTTCCAGCAGTTCATATGTACATATAATGATAATACTGACAGGAAGGGTGTCACAGGGGTTGTGGGGAGCGTTGTGTGTGTGGCAATGCTGTTGACAATCTGTTTGACGAGTCTCTCAGCGCTGCCACACTGCACTCTGTGACTCAACTCTCTCGTGATGTGTGGACAGTAATGGGAGAGTGAAATCTGCTGGGTGTTATATGAGGTCAAATGTAGTAAATGTTATGCGCCTAGTGACAATTTTTCCCCAAAAATGCCACTAACTCCAATCTTCATAATAGCGTCTATGACCAGAACCTTTCTAGGAGCACTGGACTCCAGAACCTACGTATGATCTTGTGTAATGGCAGTAATT